GCGTTGCTGTTATTTTAATTTTATAATCAGATGTAAAGTGGGAAGGTTCTTTAAATGGTGGCCAATGGTCTACATCTTTAAATTTTTTTTTGGAGGGGTACCGGGTATTGAACTTGGGTCCTTGCATTTGCAAGGCAGGTGGCGGAACCACTGAGCTAGATCCCTGGCCCTAAAATCTTCTTTTCTGCACTTAAGAAAACAGGGTCATGTTCTTGTCCCATAGTCTCCACTTCTAAATATTTCCTCTAAAACTTTTCTCTGATTTTTCTCTTCCGATATAATTTGGTTTTGACCTTGGCATTTTGAAATGTGAGACAGCTCAGTGCTGTCTTCCATTTTTCTTTGACCTGACAATATTTCATTTTCTACAACTAATTGTGTTAACAGATCAGAGTTCTGTTTTGAGTAAAAGCTACTGTCCTTTAAAGATAACTTACCATGCAAATTCTTCAAGATATTATTGATAATTTCACTTGGAATGATTTTTTTCTTGAAATGAAGCACTGTTTGGATATGAATACACCTTTTTGATTTTTACATCTGCATAATGCTTAATAAGTATAAAATGGTACCGGCAATGATGTCAGCATATTCCTTAAGGCAATTTTGTTATACATGAATTGCATGTTCATGTTTTTCTCTGTAGTCATCGAACATGTAATTTGTGACCTCTTGATTCAGAATAATTTCATCTGTCAATATTTTTGGTATGTTCACATGTGATGGCATTTGATTTAATTGAAGAAAAACACTGTCATCTTGTTTAAAATTTGTAATTCATTTGTAAGTGATTTTTAATTAGTTTGAGAATCAAGAATATGTAGCAAATATATTGTGACAAAAGAATTTAAAATATCCCAAATAGTTTTGTAATAAAGTTAGCATTTTCCTTGTGTTTGTCAGGGGAAGATTGCTTGGTATCTTGTTTCTTAAGTATATTTATCTGATTATCATCAGAATAAGCTGATTTCAGCAGTATCTTTTCTCTTTCTTGGAAATGGAAAGTTCTCCCTTTTGTTTTCATGTGTTGAGTCCATAATAGGAAATGGTTGGCTCTCTGCTTTTGGAAATGTGCCACACAATGTCATGGATAATCTTGCAAAAATAGAATCCTTTGGACTTATGCCAAACATGACAGTAAAATGGAGATTTTGAAGAGCAATATATCTATCATATCACTGGAAATCATAGCAACACATGAGTTCCGAACTAAAATTGTTGGAATAGTCTTATTTCTACATTTCGGGACTATCCAAAAATTTGCTTCCAGGTATATATCAACTATATGACATTTAACTTTTAATGAAGTATGTAGGATATTTTTCTCCTCTAGTGTTTTCTCACAGATGTTACTTAAAATGCTTTTTACAGTATCTAGTATTAGAAAGTGAAGTTTTTTCGGTAGTTGTTTTAGTTGAACAGCTTTCCCACAATATCTTCTGACTAGCTTGGGTCAGGCTCTCTGTCAGATATGTCTTTTACATGCTTATACTTACATTTAGTACATACAATGTCTAGCACTGTGTTTGTTAACAATATAACATAATATTTTCAGAAGTAACATTATGAATTATGAATAGATTTTTCTTTCTTTATCTAACTCATCTTCAATTCCTTGTAAAATCTCTAGTTAGTAGTGTTGCAGAAATATTTAGCTTAGATCCAGTTAGATGATACATTGAGGTAATTATTCCTGACTTCTTATAATCTACTGAGCAACAAGGGACTTGTATCATTAAGATATGAATCTTTGGTTGATAACCATTGTTGGTTTAAAGCAGTCACATCTTGCTATAGAGGTAAAGTCATTGGAACTTTGAGGTGCATATAAAGACAAAAGAGAAATTTTACTTTGGAAGTAACAAATGTTTCTAAATTTATTAATTCTGATTGCATAATACCTTCAACTACATTTGCATTAGTCAGTTTACCAATATTGAATCTGGGCTGATGTGTGCATGGATTTCTGTCCAGTATGGTAGAATAAATAGACTACTTTCCTTTACTGAGTTTTTGTGTTCAGGAGATACTCATAGGAATTGTGGTAGTGTGGTGCCTGTTTTTCTATGCACTTCTAATATGGCAACAGAGAAAATTTTTTGAAATATGGTTCTAATAATACTATCTGTAACAACGATTAATCTGCTTCAGACATGAAAAGATCCATTGTTTTATTCAGAATTGTAACATATGTTTGAGCAAGTGGTTTTTCAGTTGCATGAGGGAGGTCACATAAATGGGATTGTGGCAGAGAAAGTACATTTAATTGATCAATTAAATCATTCTGAAAACTTTCATTCAAAATATTTATTTTATTAGTACATGTTTGCAATACATAAAGTTCACATTGATCCTAGGAAGGAAGTAGATGTACATAATACATCTTGATTCTTTTTCTATACTTTCCCTCCCCACTAACCTCCTTCCCTCATTCCTTGTGGGTATTTGGTACACATACATGATACATCTTAATTTTTTTTACTCCCCCAACAATATTTCTTATAATGGGCACAATGGGGGACTTTTGCAGTTCTTCGAGTTCTCCTTCAAAGTTTTTTCAATGTTCTTTCTATTTCTTGTTGCTCAAAAAAGTCTGAATCACTTTCTTCCTCTAGTGATCTTTTCTCTCCAGCACTTTCTCTGTATCTACATGCTCTTCTAGATTCGACACTGGTCCAGCTTCTCCAGCAAGAATATTTCCGTAGTTTGGCCTATATCTGTAATTTTCCATGTCTCCCTCTTCTGGTTCAGTTTCATTAAACATGTCTGGAGACATTTCATCTAAAATTAAATCGATTATCTTTTTAATAATTTGTTTCCAGATCTGGCAAACTCACATTTAATCAGCTCGAAAAGCCTTCAAAATAATACTTGATACCTTCTTTGTCTGCACATGTAAAGCAGAATGTGATAGCTCTTCATGTGTGTTAGTACAAATGTTGGCACTTTTACTTTCCCAGCCTGTTTTGTTGCTCTTTGTATTTTCACTGATTATAGATTCTAGAGTTTTAAAATTTCTTTTTTTTTTTTTTTGGTCTT